CTACCGATACTTTCGCAAATGCGCGACATGTCGAAATAAACAAACAACCCGCGACTTGAAATCAATTTCCGCAGCGCCCTACATTACATGAGTGTTGGAGAAGCATGTGGAATGAATTGGATGGCGCGGGGCCGCGCGGCGGTATCAACCGTCAGGCAGGGGGGGAAGGATGGTGATGATCCTCTGGAAGCGAAGTCCCACTCTCCATGCGAACGGCACTCCGCTTGATGATCATCTCCGCCATTACCTCCGACCCCAAAGAATTGCTTAGATTTGAATGAGTTATTATGATACCCTGTACTGTCGTTATTCAATTGTTTTTGTTATGGAAGAGTGAATTGAGTGATCCACAATTTATCAGCAGCAAGCTACACAATTTCACAATTTCAATTTCATTTCTAAACCTCAGACATCTTTTCCAGTTCCTAGTACATACAAACAAGCAATACCTACCAAACAACCCACCAATCAATTCCTACCTACTACCTCCTCCGTACCTACATATCCCCCCGCCCCCCTCCCCTATGAAAAAAAAAACAATAAAAACAAACCAAAAATTAAGCTTCCCCAATCCTACCTTCTACTTAGTATGTCCGGAGTATTTATCTCCCCCATCTGATTCCAAATCCCTAAGATCATCACCATCCCCATCACCCGCATCACTGCTCTCCGAGCCCCAGTGATGCGTGCTTAAGCAATGGCAAACAAACAACCCAAATCCCGGCAATAAGCCCCGGATTTTCCCTCCTTATCTTCCCTGTAGATACGGGCTTGGACCTGTGACAGTCATACATGCATACATATATGCATACATACATGCCACCAGGGCTGCGCCCTGCCTATCGTAATGTAAAATGTAAATCATATGGAGCTAAGCCTATTATCTAGATGAGTAGATAGTATTTACTTCTGAGTGACGAGTGACAAGTGTATATACGTAAATGACTGGGTGTTATAGGACGGGATAATCATATTACTGCTATACTATAGTAGGATTTCGGATTGGGTGCTCCGTAGTAGGTATTCAATGCATACATACAATATAGGCATACTTGCTGTAGATGAGTATTTATTCCCTAGGTATGTATGACTTTCTTTTTTCAAATCTCGATCTTATCATTCCCTCCTATCCTACTCCGTACTACCAAAAAAAAAAAAAAAAAAAAAAAAAAAACAACAACAACAACAACAACAACAACAACAACAACAACAACAACAACAACAACAACAACATCATAGACACTACCCCGTAAAGAGAGGAGAAAAACAACAGGACACGCAGACAGGACTAAAAACCCGGGTTAGTACACTAACCCAACTAGCCTTAGCGGGCTGAAATGTGGTACTGAGCGTACTCCAGACTAGGTTAGCTAGCACCCATCACCCATCACCCATCACCATCACATCTTACTAGTATTAGGATGTATTGACTATTTACTAGAATGGTCTTAGAGAGATGGACTAACTACTAAGTTACTTAGTTAAGTTACTTAGTTAGTCGTAGCCACCTTGGTAGTGAGGAGATGAGTGGGAGTGACTGGTTGGGTGGCATTCATTCGACTTTCCAGGTAATAGGTATGGACCAATAGGTATGGGTTTACCCCGTAGTTCGTTTGGGTGAACCAACCTGACCCCGTACTCTAGTCTCTAGTAGCCTAGCTATCTACTCCGTATCCTGATTCTGCATGGCCTTGGTGGTTGTTGGCATTTGGGGCTCCACTTGGATTTTCCTAGTTTTTGCAATCGCTTGTTGGTCTCCGAGGGGAAATTCGGGGGATGATGTGATTTGGGTGAAGGGGTTTGTTACTGGTTTGTATGGTGTGTACACACGAGGGGGGAGTCGGGGACTGCACTGCAGACTGGAGAGGGGAACGGTCACGGACCTTACCCCTCCATTTGCAACGTACACCAAGTACTCCGTACACAGTACATCTTCATCATGCCCCTCTCCTCCCTTCCCACTTCACCCCCGCCCTCCCCCTTACAGCATTGCGACATTAGTCCGGTTGCCTCCTGTAACACGGACACGTAAGTGACTTGCTAAGGATTCGTACTTTATTCGCCCCGCATCAGGGATCAGATTGCTGCTGGTGTCGGATCACGGTATCAGACCGCGTTTCGAGCAAATTCATCTATCTATCTGGGGATATTAGGCTCGCGTTTGAGCCAGCGAAACAGAGGAATGACCGATTAGCTAATGGTGTCCTTTCAGCCACACCCGAACCGATTGCCCCCTTTTGTGGTTGCCGCAATGGTGGGTGTCGCTGATCAGTGGGTCGTGGCTCATTTCGCCGTCCGTTGGCCTCGTTTCATCGTCGCTTTGGGTATCGGGGTCCACTGTGCTATGGTGGGATTCGGATGGAGAGGTACGGGGTCTGAAGGGGGGGAAACAGAGCGGCCGGCTGATTAAGATTCAACCAGGGGTGGACAGGCACGCCGAAGGCTGGGTAGAGTGTTGACGCTGGACGAAAATGAGTACAGGGAGAGTCATGTGCCATAAAGCATTGACGGTATCGATTGCAGAAAGGTCTGCCGAGTTGTCACTTGTCAGGTGAATCCCGTGGTCACCGTGTCAGCGGAAATGTCAGATATTTCCCGGCCAAGCATCGAGGTTGTCATGATGGATTGCCATTCTGTCGGGCAATGCTACATGTGACAAGTCGAGCTCCTTCTTCAACCCCGTTCCATGGTCCTCTCTCCTCTCTAGTGATCGCGTTCTAAGGAACTGCCTAGGATCGTCGGATCTTCCAGTTCGGCCTGCCTTATGACTTGGTAAACACCTCGAAGCAACGGTATGACCCAAGGAAGCCATTGGCATTCGGCCCACGCCAGATCCCTAAGGACGCCGTAGCAACGAGCATCAGAGATCAATCTTGAGATAATCGGGGTCCCGGACGTCGCCTCCCCACTGACATGTCGTAGTGCTCAATAGTCCGCCCACTACTGGGACTGCTCATGTATGTAATCGGCGCGCCCGGGCACGAAGGACAGAGCATTTAACCTCCTCGTACGACTACGACAGTGACACGATCAAAGCTTAGTCGGTAGTCCACGCGACCGCGACGGTCTATCATGGATATCGTCTTCCCTCATCGGGAATATGAAGATTAAGTAGCCCGCCCAGTGGGGAGATCCTGAGCCAGCCACGACTCATAGCCTCAAGATTCAGGCCCTCGAAACTAGAACTAACGACGGGCTCCGCTATGCCTTCTAGATTGTTGCCCGTGTTGGGGATTGAGCACAACGAGCACTTGCTAGTGGGAGATCCTCCCAGAGCCGCGGGCCCGTGGAGCGGAGGAAGAGGCTGGCTCTATCGGTCGATCGCCCGACTATCGATTCTTAGCGGAGTTCCGGGGAAGGTACGGAGTAGTTCAGTGCGGTCTGCCCTGGATCCTCGTGACTCACAGTCTCACACGGGCTGAGTCGACCAAATGGACCGACACAGACGGGGTTTGAACGCGCTGGAGACAGCGACTCGACTAGTCGTAGGGCTCCCCGCGGATTAGGCTCGGATTGCAGCGGCTTATCTCGGCAGGTTAACTCAGTGCCTGGCTAACTTTTTCAGGCCTCCGACCAGCTCTAGGCACAGTCCCATAATTGGATCCGATGGCATCCTCTTTCAGCCCTCCACCGTATGGCTCCTGGTCTCAACTCCACCAGCTCCGCTTCGATTGCAGCGGTTACCGGAGCCAGGCGGCTGCCGCCCGGGCGTTGGTTGGTGTCTCCGGCCAACGCTCCAGTCATTGCTACGCCCTCCTGCAGTGCGACATTCTTTGGATGTATCGCTCAGCGCCGGCGGTGACCTGAGTGGCAATGTCGATGCATGGAGTGGACAGGTACTCCGGGCCGGGGAGACCTAAACCTAAGCGATGACTGCTGGAATGGATACCTCACATGCAGGCGGTTTCAGGGATCTTCCCGGCCGAATCTGGGTGGCTCTCCAACCGAATCAAGGGGCAAGGCTGGATCGAAGTGAGAAATGCACTGTGCGATAGGCTGCTTCTGAGCTAAACTGCCAGGGTATTCGCGGTCTCTGCGTTTTCGATTGAGCTGCATTCCTGGATGACTGTCTGCGGGTACCTTTCTTGAGAAATTGACCCTGGGGAGTGCGCAACAACTTAACGAAGGCTGTGACGAGAGGGCGGTCGAGTCGGGTGAACCTGATGCAGGCCTCACGATGAGACATGAGACACGTCCAACTGTGTCACTCCATATCCCCATTCCAGGGCTGAGGTTATCTATTTTTGTTCGCAGCCCTGGCAAAAGTAAAGGCGACCCAGGGCAAAAGCAACCCTCGTATCGGATCAGCCGTCTGCTGAAGGTTGGATATCATCTTTGTTCCGGTTGGCTTTCCCCGTGGTGACGAGACTCCAGCCAGCGCAGGACAGGCAACGAGAAGGGCGGAGGCACAATGCCATTCGCGCCGAGGGCGATGCAGGGCGGGTGGTCCACCGTCGACATTGCCCGCAAGCCCTTTTTTTTCTTCTTTGACTTCAGCACAGCGTCTTTGTTGTGGCTGCCCTGAGATCTGGCGGTGTAACCCCATCCGCCAAGCGTGACGTACGCGAGTAGGAGGAAGTGTTGATGGGCGCCTTGGATGATGGGTTGAGGGGAAGGAGAGGGAGAGGAGGAGGAGGGGGGTGAGAAGGAAGAGGGAAAGACCGCGGGAAGAAAGGTAATGGACGGCTGGACGATTGTTGGTGGTAGATGTTGGCTGTTGGGCGATTGTATACTCCGTACACTACAACACTATACAGTATCGTCACTTGGCCCGATCTTACCACCAATACTATGGACGATGTACAATGTACTATACAACTTCTTCCTCCCTCCTTCACCTTCCGCTCACTTCTTACTTTCTCCCAATCCTTGCTCCATCACTTACAGCGCAGAAGAATTCTCCTCGAGCCCTTCTGATTGACGGACTGGCTAACTGACGGACTGGCTTAGTGCCAGGATATTTACTTTTTCTGTCTTTTCTTTTCCCCTCCGCCTCCTCGTCTCTCTCGCTGTCTCGGTGCTCGATCCTCTCCGGCTCAATAGTGAGTCTCCATCTTTTCTTATCCATCACAGTTGATCATGCATGACATATCATCAGCCTGCTTGGGCCCGTCCGTCTTCGATCGCGCCGCTGCGATCCCTCCATCGCCCATCGCCCATCCCAGTCTCCAGGCCTTGAGCCCGGAATTCCCTCCCAAGCTCTCCAGCTCAACTGCGCCCCTTTACATTCGTCAGCGGATGCATCGGTGGCTTTCGTCTATTTTCCCTCTGCTGCTGGGCTTCATTGCACTAATCTTATTCTCACGGTTCCTGTCCACTTTATTCCTATTCCCTCGGACATTCTTACCTTTATTTTTATTCTGGCCCTCCTTGCTCTTCCTACCGTGGCTGTTGCTGTTACTTCAGCACCGATCCCAACACTTTCGCCATCGGTGGGCCTCTATCGATGTAGGAGGTCGATCGACCCTCCGTCGCTTGTCTGCCTGCCTTGACTTAAAACCCACGAAGCTGTGGTCCTCGAGCTTTCATCCTCGGTGGATCGCTTTCTTTCTTCGACCTGTACCTAATTGTCGGACCAGCGACCGGGGTCTTGGAGCATTAGCCAGTAAGCATAGTACCCTTGGGCACCATGGGCCATATCCGGGTGCGAGGCCGTCAGATCCGACTCGATACTCATCAGCTAGCTTCCAGGTCATCACCTCGACTACCCGATCCTTCCCTCCACATTGGAGTCGAAAAGCATTGTGAACAGACCATTGCCTGGGTGATCCAAGGCTTAAACTCTCGAGGTCCACCTCGCCTTCATCCATTCTCCGACTACTCAGGGGATCTGACATATCGCACCTTACCACACCACAACAATGCCTTTTCCTCCACGCGAAAAGGGGCGGATGGCAAAACCTGGAAGATCAGAAGAGGAATTTGTGCTATTTCTCCAAGGGGTAGGTCTTTCACTCGATACATCCCCCATGCTGTCATGGCTGACCGATGAACCAGATCCCTGCGCACTGTCGTTGGCAAGAGCTCAAGGACTTGGTCCGTCAGACAGCCTTACATATCCGTCAAGCGGTAGTCTATGACGACCAGCACGGGTTCCCAACCGGTCTAGGCCAGATCATCGTGAAAAACGAAGACGAAGCATGGCGGACCTACCGTGCGTAATTGGGCTCAGATGGTCAGAAGGTAGCTGACAGGTTGCTTCCAGATCGACTATCCACCAACGGCTGGGAGGGTCAGAGTCTGGTTGTCACATTGGCACGAACCAGTTCACCCACGCGGCCAATTGCTGGGCCCACGAAGAGTCCGACCTGCGTGGTGCCGCCCAACTATGTCCCAGGCTACTCGACGCCGCCGCGCGCCACGCAGACCATGGCTGTGCCTCCATCCCCCATTTCCCCCGAGTAAGTGCAGCAAGTAGGCCTGTCCTTCATCAGGCGACGACTGACAACTCATAGACCCGTCTTGTCGACGAGTTCCAATGGCCTGACCTATCCAACCCCGGATTATGGCCCCATGATCAGTCCCATGGGGTTGCCCCATCAGCCTTTCATGCCTATCTTCACGGACCCGATCACGCAGCAGCCTATCCCAGGCATCCCGCAGTCTCCCGCTCCTGTCCGTCACTCGTTTGCTGACCCCTTTGCCGTTCCCATCTTCCCTCCATACCCCATCCCGACCATGCAACCGTTCCCTGATGCCCCAATGCACGGCGGCTTTCGTGTGCCCGGACGTCGGGCCCACATCTCCGGCAAATCTTCCTACGGTTACAACCCGACCTACCAGCCGGGTGGCCCGGGCCCCCGTCCCTCCCCACGACGGACTATCTTCGTCCAAAATCTCAGTCACACCGCAACCGACGAGGGGTTCCGTGCCTTTATCGAAGAGAGCGGCGCCACAGTAGAGCAATGCGAGGTGTCGACGGACCCAGACACCGGCCGCTGTAAGGGCTTCGCGCGGGTGACGCTACGCACCGCGGATGAAGCCAAGCGTATTGTGGCGCAGTACAACGGGACCTACTTCATGGGAGCTAGGATCCGCGTTAAGATCGATCGAAGTATCCATCTGGCGTACAGCCTGACCCGTGAGGGGCACGCGGGGCGTGCCTCTGTGCCAGCAGATCACGCCAACCGTGCAGTTGTCAAGGAGGACGTGTCGACCGGAGCTAGCAGCCAGCGGTCGGCCTCGCTGTCATCCTCCACATCGGGGTCTTCTAGATCAGGCGACCGTTGCGGGCCCTTGGTCGTCAATGGGTCTAATACTGGCCGAAGCGCCGTGGCTACTTAGCCATTCAACGCTCAGGCTACTCTAATTATCGATCATCGTATATGTCATTTCACTTTGGGCAATGGAAGGAACTAGGGTCTGGATTTGGGCTTGGGATAGTGTGTGATTTATCCGTCATTTACTTTATACGTGCGTGTCATCGAGTGTTGTTTCCGGCGTCCGGGGGTAAAACGGGTATAGGTTATATAGATTGGCTAGGAACGTTAGCGACATGTCTAGAACCGGTCAGATTTTCTTCCTATCATAGATACTCAGCTAGTATAGTATAGTGATAATGCATGCATTCAATTTCATCATTCACTCATGAGTCATCCATTCCATCGAACATCGAAACTATCTAACTCAGTAGTCTGTAAGCAGGACCTAACGTAGTCAATCAGATCGCTTCTAAAATACATCCATCCCCGGCCATCACACTGTACCTCCTCTTCCTCGTCTATCCTTTCTTCCTCCCTCAATCAATCAATGCCCCTCCAACGTGATGGCTATCCATCCACAATTTCATCAATGATCATGCTCTCATATCAATCAATAATACATACAGTAATGGTAGTTATCATGAGAGAAACGCCCTAAATACCGAACGGGAACAAAAGTCAACGCACTCAAAAAGAAAAAGGTAAAAAGGAAAATGTAGAATACAAGTACAGCGTAAAGTAAATAGGGTAAGCGTCCTCTGTCAATTTCAATTAGTCATCGTTAGATCGGCGCGTACGTAAAACGGCGTTAGGGACATCCCATTAGGAGAGAGAAAAATTAGCCCAGGCCGGAAGATTTGTTGTCTTGGGTTTCGTGGGCAAGAGGTAGGTAGGTAGGTAGTAGGGAGGTAGGTAGGGTGGGTGAGAGGTCCGTGGGTTTGTTGGTGGTAACTCTGTGGCTGGCTAGTTGGCGAGCTAGCGAGCAGGGGCAGAGCGTGCGAGAATCAGGAAGAGGAAGGTCACTTGGCGTGGTCGATTAATTCGGCGTACAGCGGTTCGGGGATCTTGCGGACGATTAGGACCGTCAGGGCAATGATTTCTTTGGCGTCCAGCGGCGGGAAGGATCGGAGGATTTTGTTGGGACTGTGATGGGTCGTGTTAGTTCTAGGCCTGCGGGCTTTGTTTGGGTTCGGGGGTGTCAGATCAAGAGAAGGAACATTATATCATAGTGATGCGTCGGGATTAGGCCGGCTGTGCTTGGAGAGGATGTGATGGATCTGGCTTTGTCCTTGTTTTGGGATTGCTTTTTTGGGATGAGGCGAAAAGAGGAAAAAGAAAATAAAAGGGGAAATGAATAATCAGGGCCGGGGGAAAAGAAAACATACCTGGGACTTTCTAAGATCGTGTCCCTCATCCGTATCAATTGCGCCACAATACACAGGATGTTCAGGTGTGTTCCGTACGCGAACAAAAAGTCCCACAGATGCAGCACCTCTGGGAGAGGAGGTGTGCACGCGCAGAGGGTCAACACCGACGGAAATGCGTATAGTTTCGCTTGTAGCCCCTTGGAAAAGAGGTACGCCGCTAACTTGGGCTCGACGATCTCCAAACACTGATCAACCAGACGCAGCCCCCGATGGACCCCATCCATCGCGCCCCGGATGTAACCCGGGCATTCGCGGGTGATGAACGAGTGGAACAGGCCGAAGGCCTCGACTTCACTGCGAGCGGCATAGAGGAACGGGGCACAGAGCACGTTCATGCCTTGGACGTACAGCGCGGACTCATTCGTAATCCCGTAGCTGCCGTCGCGACTGCTGGCGACGCTACCTGGTGTGCTGCCTGATGGAGAGGGTTCTTCCTCGATGCTCGGGGGTGTATTAATCAAAAGTTCAACCTCTCGCAGGCGAGATGACGGGCGGGATCGCGATCGGTATCTGTTCTTGGCATCGTAGAGTTTCCATGCGACAGCGTTGAGGAGCCGAATCAGACTAGCTTCTGTGACGCGACGTTTGAATAGGGGGTCTGTGGCAAGGGTGCGGAAGGTGTCGTTGCGGATTTTGGTATAGGCAGGGGAGCGGCCTCGATGGATGAGAGAGAGGTATACGTCGGTAGGGACGGGAGGGATATCGAGAAGCACGAGCCATAGGTAGATCCGGTAGGTTGACTGGCGCAACAGGGTTAGTGGATGCGTAGCTCTCCGAAGGGAGCACGAGGGGGGAAATACCATGCCATCCGCGTCTGCCTCGACTCGTGTGGAGAGAACCAGGTACCGTAGCTCCTCAAGACCCTCCTGCAGGTTCCCCTGGTGTGGTCCGTCTCGGAGGAGCGTCTCCAAGACGGATCGTTTGACCCCGAAACCAGAACCCGTTTTCCTGGCCGATCGCTTTTGGGTTCCTATCGCTGGGGGGTCCCGAGAAGACGCATCGCTGTTAGAGCGCGCCCGACGCTGCGAGCGTAGTCGCACGGGCGATTCCAACTGAGGAGGCTGGGCGACAAGCTCCTCGGCCCCAGCGGACAGGCGCCCCGATGCTGGAAGAGCTGAGGAAGGCGGGTGAGACGAGAGGATTTGGTGGGACTGAATCTTGCGCAAGCCTCGCATGGTCCGCGGTGATGGCGACCCAGCCAGAGCAGCGAGGTTGAGCTGGGCCTGGGTGGGTTGAAAGGAGGAAGGAGAAGAGGAGGAGGAAGAGGGAGCCATGCTGGCTGGGGGATCTGTCTGGCTGTCTGGGCTGTCTACCTGGGCGTCTGCAGGTCGGACTGACAGTCTATTGGATCAGCAAGGATTGGGTCTGCGTCTGGCGCAGAAACCATCTTCCTGGTCCTGAGAACAAGAGGATTGCGTCAAAGAGGACCGGGGCGATGATGCATGAAGGCTAAGGATAATAAAAATGGGGGAAATGGGCAGGACAGCAGCTTCTTAGGGGGATCTGTTGCAGACTTAGCATTATTTAGCCCAGGTTTAGCCCGGCGAAGTTAATCTGATGGCGGGCTTTTTTTTGCCGACGGAATGAATGCGGGGACACGCGACGACGCGAGCGAAGCTCAGTTGCCATGGGAAATTCCTGGCCTTAATTTTCGAAGTCCCTGGGCCCACGAGTCCATCTTCTGCAACCTTATTCCCATCGTGGCCTGTCAATTCCCCTGGATTGATTCCATCGTGCTATCCCTCACCACGAGGACATCTTCAACTCATCCCAGTCATATCATATTCATATTCGTGGCTGCCAGAGCCCGTCGGTTACTACTAAACTATGGTCTGCTCATCATTCGAACGCCGTTCCGAACTATAAGCAATAATTCCCACTCCCCACTACTGCCCCGGCGATCAGGCGCCGCGTCGATTCGCCTGTCCATTCTCGGTCCCTCCCATGATCCCACTCACAAAATCCTGGTATCGGAACACCTCCCCTCTCTTGCCTCCGCCCGTCACTCGAGCCCCTTTCCCTCCAAACGCTCTGCGCCCCGTAAATCCACTCAGCACATCATTGATTTCCCGGTCGCTCAGCGGCAAATCCCCCTCCTCGGTCGCCGTATGTAGTAGGGCATCGCGCAGCTCGTCCACATCGATCTGACCGCTATCGTCCTCGTCAAAGGCCGCTAGGGCGTTCATGAGCTCTTGGCGGGATGAAAGGGGGGCGAGGAGCTGCGAAAGGGTATTGAGAAAGGTGGGGAAATTGATGGTTTGGGGACCTCCCAGAGGAAAGAATCTGGAAAGAGCTGTGGGGTCTTGGCCTAGCGAGCAACGTGTGTCAGTATCGCATGCCATTGCCCGAGGAGGATCGGCTCGCTGGTTTCTCACGTACCCACGTTCGTAAGGACATCTGCGACATCCTCCTTGTCCACCAACCCATCATTGTCTCGGTCCAGGACCTGGAACGCCTCCCGGATTTCCCGCAGCTGGGCGGGGGATAGTTTGGCTGCCGCGTCGGACGATGCTGCCATCATGTTCGTGGCCTTTGCTTCCATCAACGATGACGACGGATCTGGGGAATGGGCACCCCTCGTTGGCGAAGAGGGGGCGTCTCGCGTAAATCGAGGCTGTGGTATGGGGCTTCTGGGTTTGCTCTTAGGTGATGTGGTGTCATCTTCCTCGACGGTGTATGATTCCTTCAGTTTGCTGGGAGACTGGACTGGAGTGTAACCGCGGTTGGGAGAGCTGCCGGGTGGGCTGGAACGGCCTTGCGGAGGCGAGTTGGGGGTGGAGGGGCGGCGGAATGGAGAGGTTCGAGGGGAGCCAAACGATAAGGGTGACGGCCTGAAGGGGGCGTTGGAGGTGACCTGGAGACGGCGGTGAGCAAAGTTGGAGAGGGTGATGGGGGAGAACCAGCAGATACCATGATGAATCGGGATCAGAGACTGTACAAGACCCCTGAGGAATGAACGGTTTCACGAGACCAGGAGCGATTGGGGCAACTCGCTGGTGAGGATGACGGAGAACATAAGGAAGCGGACTGACTCGATATCATACTTCCCAGAAGGGAAAGACAACCAAACAAACAAGGGCCGGTCGGGGAAGAAGTCGGGCCGAGCACGGGGGCACGTGCGGGGGGCCAAGGATCCCACCGGCAGTTCTGCAGTCTTCCTCATCCACTCACTGCCTCGATCGACTGCACGGAGAAAGAGATCCGATCGTCGACTACTGCTGGATATAGTATTATCTACTTTCTGAACTACCTTGCAAAGGCACTGCTCTCGGTCCAGACCCAGGGGCTCATCCCCCCTCTCTCCCTGCCATTCCGCCTGGCTGGAAACCCTTCCCTGCGTGCATTGAGGCCATGGCGGTCGGTGGTGCTGGTTTGTCTCCCGTCGCCTTTCCCCGCTGTGGAGATCATCGTCGGTGCGTGGGCTTTGGAGGCTCTCGTCCCCTTTCTTTTTCCCCTGAGTCTATCCCGACTAATCCTCCGATCGACGAACCTCCCCCGTCCGCCCTGGCCCTCGACTCGACAATGACTGACGGACAAGCAGTACCCGTCGCCTGAATCAGGTCGCTTCGGTTCCGTTGGTGTAATTGATCGAGTATGCTGCTATTCTCGCCACTCTCGTGCTCACTGTTCGCCGGCCCTCTGGAGCTCCCACCCACCCCCGATCCGCCCTCGATCTGAATGACACCCGTGCCCACCCCCGACCCCTGTTCCCCAGCCAGAAAATGAGCATCTCACTACCTTACCGACCGGCTGACGATACGGCGCTTTCGCTTGCGGCCACCACCAGTCCGTCCAAGTCCAATGGCCTTCCCCACTTATCTCCCTCGCCTTCCATCATCCACCGGCGCACCCCAAGTAGCTCGGGAAACTCGGCGCGCCGCCGCTCGCTGGGCAATGGCGCTGCGGCCATGTACCCCAAGCCGCGGCGATGCAAGTCGCAGTATCCCCGGGACTCCTCCGAGCGACATGTCGAATATATTCTCGTGGCTTCCTTTCACATTGACCGCGGCCCGATCATGGAACATCAGTATCCTGCCGCCATTAGTGGCGACGAGAGTATGCTGGCGGAGCTGATGCTTCCCGATCAAACACACGTTCGAAGTCAGGACTGGACGATCTTCTTCCTGCACAAAGACACCAGCGCCGATGCTGACGACGACGACGACGCCTCAAGTACCGGCAAGAAAAAGAAGAAGAAGAAAAAGTCCCGGGCGACGGATGTGGAGAGCGGTGATGGGGATAGCGAGGATGCCGGTGGGTCGACCGAAGAGGAGAGCAGCGACGAAGAAGAGGGTGGCGAGGGGCCACCCTTGATGTATGTGCTCAACCTTGTAAATACGAAACAAGATAATACCGTCAAGCGGTACGTCCTGCTCCTTGATCTCAGTTGCGCGATCGATACTGAACAGTCACAGCGGCGCCGTGGTCAAAGCCATGGCGATCTGTACACGGCATTCTTTTCTGCATATATATAAAGTAGGTCCATCCGACCACACGCCGATGGCCAAGCTGACCGGCATCACAGCCTTTGCTTCTCCTCGCCCTGGAGGATTACTTCAAGAATCCGTATCCGGAGACACTCGCCTCGCTCTACCACGCTGTGAACTCGATGGACCTGTCCCTGATGCCGAGGCTATCTCTGTTGGAGCGACTGATCTTGCAGGCGAGCAACTCCAAGGACATGTTTATCGAAAAGTTCGAGCAGATGATCCATCAGCGACAGGCTGAAGAGGGTGGGCCATTTGATGATGAGTGCCCACCATCACCCAGGAGGCCCGCGCCCCCTCGGCACACGCTACCTCGGGATACGCACGAATTCGAGTCCAAGATCGTCTACAATGACATACCCATTCCCGTGAAGGTGCCGACGGTGATTTGGCCAGAGATTGTGGGCGACTTCTCCCTCATCAAGCTGATCCAGATCTTTGCCGGTCCACATGCGACCTCGCCGCAGCCCTTCCCTGTCCACCCTCATCTCACCACCAGCGGGCCCTTTACCCATCCCATTATTGTTCTCATCAATGCGATGTTGACGCAGAAGCGCGTGATATTCTTGGGCCACAACCGCCCTTCGGGAGAAGTGGCGGAGGCGGTGTTGGCGGCGTGTGCTCTCGCATCGGGCGGTGTCTTGCGCGGATTCACCCGGCACGCGTTCCCCTACACCGATCTGACGAAGATCGATGACCTTCTTCGAGTTCCTGGATTCATTGCGGGTGTGACGAATCCGACATTTGCGAATCACCCTGAGTGGTGGGACGTGCTCTGCGATCTGCCTACGGGGCGGATGAAAATCAGCAGCCACATCGAGCCGGCCCCGGTCACGGAAGGATTCTTATATTTCCAGCAGCAGGCTGCCATGCACCATCACGCTCCGGCGAATGCGAACACTGATCCCAGTGGGGACAATGTCTTCATGGAAGAGGTTCAGCGCAGCATCACTAACCGATATGGCGAGAACGCCATCCGGGCGAAGTGCCGCGCCTACATCATGAAGTTCGCCCGAGTCGCTGCCGCCTTTGAAGAGACCGTCTATGGGGCCTCCAACTTGTATGTCATCGGGCCCAACGAAGAGCTATCGCCTGAGAGCCCGAGCGGGCTCCAGGCGGATCCCCTCGATCCGACGACGCTGCGCGGACACGGGTATGTCTGGCCGGACGAGGGAGCCAAGCAACGCGAACTGCTGGCCTCGGTGTCGCGGATCGAAGGGTGGCGGACGACGCGGTCATACTACTCCTTCATTCAGGACATTGCGGCCATGTACTACCCCTCCCGGCCGATCCAGAAGCCGGACTTGGCCCACCACCATGACCGACTGCGGGCGCTGCGGCTGCCGCCCGCTGATGCAGGGGCGATTTACATTGCGTTTGCACACGCGGTCAAAGACTACGCTGGCATCTGTCAACTTCTGACCGTGACCCCCGAGAACCAAGCGGGACTCTTCTACCTCAGCATGGGCTTGTTCCACCCGCACCAGCCGGTCCGCGAGGCGACGGTCGAGCTCCTAGAACGGATTGCGGCGCATCCGGCCGGACGACACTTTTGGGCGCAGCTCAACCGGTTTGCCAAGCTGGCCTTTTTCCGCATCAAGCGCGAGCGGGATGCGCAAAGCCCGGCGTCGGGGACAGCGCCGGAGAGCTTTGGGCCGCAAAGCTTGGTGGGTGTGGCGATGGGCGATACCTTCCGACGCAGTTAACACCATCTCGACCACCATGAACCCGACCTACGGGCCTAGTGCCCTGGCGAAACCACTGAACCTCTTGAAACCACTGTAACCACCCGTATCATGATTATTGACGACCGTGATATGCTGGCCCTTTACTTCATGTGATCTTCTTGTGCACTGTTTGATATTTACCATTGCCCTCGCGGCCGGATATACCTGTGTGTTTTGGATGGGGAGCCGAATTGTATCCATGATAACTACTTCTGATGTGAATGTGTCTACCGTACAACCGTATGACGATATAGTATAGTATGTCTGCAGGTCGAGTGATATCGATTAAGAGTTAATATAGACATTAGAAGTAGGTAGTAGATCCACCAATCCAAAAGATAAGAATAACCCAACGCTATCATCATCCGTAACCCATCCATCATCCATCTCAAAACAGCCCTGCCCCCACCAGCAAACCCACCCCCAAACTCCACCCCATCACCCCCCACCTCCCCCTACATCTAAAAGAAAACCCCCCCGACTCCTCCACCCTCTTCACCTCCCCCACCGTCACATTCACATCCACAAACCCCGTCCCACACGCCCCCTCCCCATCCAACGCCCTCGCCGTCGGCAAATACGACTCCACCAACGGCTGCCCATCGACCCCGGCCCACTGCGCAAACACCCCCATCGTGGCCTGCAAACAAACATCACACGTCGGCCACGGCGCCTCGGTAACCTCATACCCCGTCCCATACGCCACAAAATAGACATCATAGTTGACCGCATTGGAGGTATTCGTGACGGCATCCACGAAACAATAATTCTTCGTGGTCGGGGACTGGAGACATGTGGCGCGGTAGAGCGGCTCGTAGGTGAGGAGGTCGGTGTAGAGGTCTATGACGAGTTGGTTGCCGGCGGTGTAGTCGTGGCCGCAGGTGGTGGGGTGGAGGAGGGTGGTGGCGAGGGTGGTCAGGGTGGTGCTGCATGTGGTGAGGGGGGCGGCGCAGGCGGTGTCGAGGATGGTGGAGAGGTGGGTTGGGGTTGTGAGGGTTGTGAAGAAGGAGGCGGAGTTGCGGAGGAGGAGCGAGATGGGGTGGCAGGTGGTTAGGGTGGTGTTGGTGAGGAGCGTGGTGAAGTATTTGGCGCAGGTGGTTGTTGTGAAGTTGTTTGTGAGGGAGGTGTCGAAGGGGGTGGGGAAGGTGGTGTCTGTTGGGGTGTCTGTGGAGGTGGCGCGGGGGTGGAGAGGGTTTGTTGTTGGTGTGGTGGTGGTGGTGAGGTTGGTGGGTGGTGATGGTGATGGTGGTGATGGGTCTAGAATTGAGATGGTATGTGGAGATGGATCGACGAGGGTCTCTCCACTGTCGGGGGAAATTTCCGAGTTGGACTGCAAGACCGGTTGGATGGGCAGCACGGAGGCTGAGATGGATGGCAGTGCCAGAAGGATGAATAAAGACCAGACGAAAAGGAGAGAGAATCGTGCAGAACCACGAACACGCATGATGCGTCGCGGGTGGATATGGGAAGACATAAAAGAGTGGCACCCACGAGGGAATCAGAATAAAGAGCGTGGTTACTAACTTTTGTAAAAGATACGGGAGTAAGGAACGTCAATTGTCTGGCATGGTAGGAGGCTAGCCACGGACGGTGGCAGGGGAAGGGGTAGAAGGCTGGATTAGGGCACAGGGAACACGCAGTTTATCTATTCATTGATGCAGCAAGACGGACAATGGCACAGACCGCGAAGAATGGATCAGGGGCGTGCCTGACCCGAATAGTGGCTCGTGCTATAGCCGTTAAAACCCTGCCATCTTTGGACCATCGATGCGTCTGGACTCCGGGTTATTCTTAGCAGCCGGGGGAGGATTGGCTCCTTGCGGTCTGCCAGGGCTGGCTTGGAGCCCTCCCTGCAGTTAGTCCGGGCATTATACCTGTTGTGTTCCAGGTCTGAAACCAACTGACTCGTGATTACTGCCCACTTGTGATTCAAGGATCCATCCATCATGATACAAAGTCTTCCCGCAAGAGCCCAGAATCGTCCAGATTGAAACTCCCGAAAGGCACGGGCTGCACGCCGGCCCCTTCGGCCAATCACGGCCCCGGCAAAGAGGGGCCCACCTCGCCTATCGCCGACCCAGCGATGGAGGATTGACATCCATCGCCTTCGTCGCTCTTCACTTCTTCTTCTCCTCCACCAGCGCCCTTCATTTCGCATCATGTCTGCCGATCTTCTCGTCCCGGAGACCAGGGTCTTGGCTGTCGCCAGCCATGTACGTGCATCCCCCCACCGCCTTTGCAGCCGGACCCCATGCTGACTCGCACAGGTCGTCTACGGGTATGTGTCATGCCTGATAGCAGCATCCTGCTCTCTGCACCGGACAGTCTCGTCGCCGTCTTGCGCATGCTGACCGACCAGATATGTGGGAAATAAGATGGCCAGCGTGGTTATGCAGTTGCTGGGCTGTGATGTTGCCGCCTTGAACACCGTCCACTTCAGTACGTATCTCACTATCTGCTCTGATCCATCACTAACCCACCCCAGGCAATCACACCGGCTACCGGCAATTCAAAGGCACCCGGGCCACGGCAGACGAGATCACCGCGCTCTACGAGGGTCTGACCCAGAGCAGCCTGCTTGATTTCGACGTCATGCTGTCGGGCTATGCACCGAGTGCAGCCGCCGTCGAAGCCGTCG